ACTTATAGAAACTTGATTAAAAGTCACCAATAATACTGTTTCTTTTCTGCTCTTCATGTTATTTAGTAAGGTGTGAAAAACAATTATATCTATTAATAAAAAGCTGACTAAACAGCCAAGCAGTCAGTATCGTTACCTTTTTTTTTTTTTCTTGCCTGGATTTTCAGGATAATCAATGGCCATTTTTGTAACTGTGAGTAATTGAGCTCTCCTTTGGGAACCTGAAAATGGAAAAAAAAAAAAAAAGAAAGAAAATAACTTTAAAAATTCAGAGTCACCAGTACAGATTCTGCATGCTAATCTTGAATTTAGCCTGTGGGCAAGCCAGTACTCTCCCAGTCTGAATTCCATTCCCATCCCAGTGGCTCTCAGGAGAGCAGAGTTCAGAATCAAACAAGCATCTGTGCTAATCATACTTTTAAGGCATTTAAGGAAACCATTTATCAGAATCAGAATGTTTCTAAAGTGGTGTTTGTCAGCTGAGACAGTTAAGATTTGTTGTAACGACAAAAGAGAATGAGGTTAAATTAATCAAGCTATCACCAAACTTTTGCTCTGGTGAAGAAACTCAACTTTCATTGTGGAAATCAGATGAAGGGTCCATGTAGAGTTGGGTGTCTGTGGCCACTGAAAAAATATTTTAGAAAGGAATAATGATGTGCATCTCACCTCCCTGTCCCCAAAATGCCAAATTGCCTTGGAAGGTTCCCTCTGTTATGGTAAAAGCATTGAAGTTGGAACAGGTAGCAAGTTTTTCTCAAAATGATTTTTGCTTCATTTAAAAGGCATACAGTTTGACATCATATCATAGTGTAACATCATCAATTATCTACCTACCTACCTATCTACCTGTCTACCTATCTACCTGTTTACCTATCTATCTATCATCATCTTCATCACCATTATCTTATCAGTCCTTCTATCTCAAAATGTGGAGGCAAATATACATCAATCTCCTAGCTTTGCAATTTAACTGGTCTTTTAGGCCATTTCTGGGTACCAGTGATAGAGTCAAGACCTCAAGGATTACTTTATAGCACCAGGCTGACTGTTTATTGGCTAGATAACCTTCCTGGTCCTTCCTCTAATTAAAATTCAGTTCCTAATTAAAAACCAGAGATTTTTACAGTTGATGTAAATAGTTTGGTCCAGTGCTGCCCAAAGTGATTGTAGGATCCAGAAATACCTATTTTAAACAAGTTAGCCAAGTTATTTTGATATACTCTAAAGACTGTGAATTAGTACTAATCTATCTTGACTTAGTATAATCTTGACTTAGTATGGATATAATTTAAATTTCATGCTTAGTGGAAGGATTAGGTGTCCTGCTGAGCCACCAACACTCTCTCACTTGGTAACTGTAATAACTGGGTGCTAAATTGGTCTTCATGGTCAGGTTTTTGTGCAATTTGGTGCCTTCCAATTTAGAGGCTTTATGAGGTAAAATATTCCCTTTTGGTTGAGAAGACATTCATTGTTTAGCCCCCAAAACTAAGCAGTCTGTCCTTCTTGCTGAGGACAGACTTAGTGAAAGAAAGGAGGCAATATATAAAATGATTAAGAATGCACGTTCTGGAAATTATTTTCTATTGAGTTCTAGTAGAACTCAATAATAAACTTCCTTATTAACCTCATGGAATCTTTGTAAATTGTGATAATTATAGAGTTTTGTTAAGATTAATGAGATAATGCTTGCAGAAGCTTATCCCTAGTTCTGCCATATAGGGAGTGCAAAATACATATTGCTAAATTTTGGAGATTAATATGAACTTTCCAATAATGGGATGGAGACCAATAATGGAAAAAATGTTTTGTGAGTTTCACCTTCAGAAATCAAGGTGTAAATAGACATTGGGGCATATACCTACCCAGTAATTTCATTTCTGGTTATTTAACCATGAGAAATACAAAATATGTCCTATTGGCAAAGATTTTCATCATAGTTTTATTCATAAAATCCTAAAACAATTCTCAAATGTCCATCTGCATCAACAGCAGAATTAACATTTAAGTTGTGGTATTTTCATACAACAGAATACTAGCCAGTGATAAAAAGAAATGCTTTCCTGATGTACATAACACCATGAATAAATCTCAGAGCATTATGTTCAGCAGAAGAAGCCAGACACAAAAGCTGTCTTTCGTGTGTTCTGTATATGAATTTCTCAACAGGAAAAATTAAGATGTTGTGAGGGAAATTGGAGCAGCAGTTGCCAGGGGGTAGTGTTGACTGGAGAAGAATATTGGGAACTTTCTGGGAAGATGGGAAATATTTCACCTCTTGAATGGGATGGTAGTTATGAAGGTGTATAAATTGCTAACAACATAGCAAAATTAGTTTAATGTTTTATTCAGTTTATCTGTTTGTTTCCCTGTACACCACTTAAAATGAATCCTGGTGTTTGTCTTTCCCTGTCAGACTTATTTCACTGAAAATAATACCTTCTAGTTTCATTCATGTTGCTGCAAATAACAGAATTTCCATTTTTTTATAGCTCAGTAGTATTCTACCATGTATGCACATATGTATATGTATTATAACTTAGGCTTGTGAAGACTGATTATATGTGTTATAACACTTGTGTATGTATATATACAATAGAATACTATATACACAATACACAATATATATACTGTATACACGAATACATATATATGTGTATATATATATACACACACACACACACCATATCTGCTCTATCCATTTATCTGTCAATAATCAGGTTGCTTCTAGCTCTTGGCATAATATGAGCATTTCATGCTATAGAAATTAAAATTCAATAAAAAATAACCCTCAAGAAAATTCAGCAGGTCTCCTACTTACCATTGCAGAAGTTACTGTGAAAGCATAGTCTCTATGACCTTTCTAAGATTTCACAACCTCTAGGAATTCTCTGCTGTTTCCTCACTTGCGCGATTCTCCAGGATGAATAGCAGTCTGACTCCACAATAAGAAACAGCTCATGACATTGTTGAGAACAAAAAGAAGCTGGAGAGACTGGGCTGTATTCAAAGCCAGTTAATGAGCAAACTGTATGTTAGACACAATTTACTACCTTCTAACTCTCAAGGGGAAATTTTGTTTTATTTTCAAATTCTCTTAGAACTCTTTGGTTCAAACTAAGAATGATTTATGTTGGATTTATTCCTATTACTTCCTAGTATCTGTCGCCACTAAGCCTATCATATTGAGCTCACTCACTCAGCAAGCAGTCAGCAAGCCATAGCTGAATGCCTACTTCCTGCTCAGTACGGTCTTTAAAGAGGTAGAAAATAGGTGTTAACATGATGTTTTAGAGCTGGACAATCCATGTGGTTAAATAACCTCTTCTACCTGTGGAAATTGCAACACAGAGAGGGCAATTGGCTTAATCAAGTTTACTTTTCCACTCCTGGGCGGAAATCTCCTGAATGCCAATCAAAGAATCTTTTGCTTTTAGAGGATTTGTGATCTATTTGCAATACTCTTGGAGGCACAAGCCTAAGATTAATTAGAACATAAACAGGGAAACAGGAGAATAGGGAAAAGAGATTTAATGTTTGGGCATTTATTATGTACCAGATAATTTTCTCTTAAGTCTCCAAGATATGGATGTTTTTATTTCTAGTTCATTGTTGAGAAATCTGGGGCTCAGAAATTCCATGACTATCCTAAGGTGGAAAGTGGAAGAACCTAGGTATGGGTATGTCAGGCCCAAAATCTTTAAGTACATGATATGAGGCTGGCACAGTGTAAAGCAATCTTTTGAGAAAGTAAATTGAGCAAGAAAATACTCAACATCCAGAATTTCAGAGTTAGTTTGGGGTGTTCACTGTGGAGTGGGAATTTGCATCTTGCAGTGACAGAAGAGAAAGGCAGGATGTGGACTGTTCATCTGGCTTTTTTTTTTTTTTTAACATACACTATTAGTGCCATAAAACCTCTAATCAAGCATTTAATACTTTTTCTTTTTTGCCACTCAGTAAAAGACTTTTTATTTCAATTCCCCTCCTAGGTGTTCCATGTCAGGCAATTACTCTTCTAGAAGGTTTTCAAAGTCTAAGAAATTAAATGGGCGGTTCTTAAAGCAACACTCTCTTGAAAGCATAATTGCAGTTAAGTAGTAACAAACCAGAGCACACACATCGAGTTTTCTCTCAACACTAGGGTTGCTGTTAGTGTGAGTTCCTGGTGTATCAGAAACGAAACGGGACCGTGCACATAGCAATCACCCCTGTGATCCCGAAAGCAGAGCATGCTGTGTAACTATATCATATTAGCTTTGCAGAAAGCTACCATTCCTCTGGCTTTCCCCCTGTGGTTATTTGCTTATTTTATTGCAATTTTATAGCTGATAGTTAGATTACTTGAAACTCTAATGTGACAAAGGACTGAGATAAGTTTCTGGAAGTGCTTAGGAGGGAACTCTGGGGCAGAATATGGTGTGATCAGCATTAATGCTGCTGCAATCCAGGTTTTTCCCAAGGACTCAGAGCCCCCTACCTGACCAACCAGGAAAGAGCAACAGCTTTCATCAAGCTAGGAACCTGCTTATGTAGCTGCTCACAGAGCCCAATGATACATTTCATAGCATTGTGGTAGGCAGAATTCCAGAGGTGCTTTCAGATTTCTGTACTCCGGTTAGCCAAATAATAGTTTAGGTATTGATGTGAAGGGTTTTTATTTTTTTTTTTTATTTTTTTTTTTAATATTAAATTTTATTTTTATATTCCCCCATACAATTGCAAACGCCCTATTCTGACCCCAATCCTTCCCTCCCGCCCCCCACCCCCAAAAAGTGTCTCTGGTTCATAGTTTTTTGTTGATTTTGATTTTCACTTTCTTATATTCATTTTCCTGGTCCCTTATTTAAGTTTTCTAGATTCCTGCTATGAGTGAGACCATCCGGTATTTTTCTTTTTCTTTTTGGCTTATTTCGCTGAGCATGATCCCTTCCAGCGCCATCCATGTTGCTGCAAATTGCATGTGTTTATCTTTTTGAATGCTGAGTTGCCGCGGACCAGCACAGCAGTAGACGATGAGGCCGTCTCAGGGTTGAGAGACTGCGCAGGGTGGTCAGGGATTCGGTTAAAGAAATGACAAACAGACACACTTCAAGAGTGAAAATCTGAGTGTAATTTTATTTGAGTTGGTGACCAGTATATATATGTTTTCTAAAGGCATAGGAATGGCGAACATCAGTGAAGAAATTAGCTTGCTTATAGGTTTAGCTTATCATTGACAGGGCAGTGATTTACATCTGGACCCAGGCACATTCCTAAGTAGTTAGGCTATTAATTTTCTTTTTGTTTTATATGATTACTTTTTGTTTTAACTACTCACTATTACTATTAATTAACACAGGTGAATTTTACTTTTCACAATGTAATATTTTTATCATTTAGATTAATACAAACTAGGCTAAGTATACAACAGAGAAATTATTAAGCTAGCAGTTCAATTAATACACAGAGTTTAGTAACGTTTCATTTGAATCAGCCTAGTTATTAGATTTCGTATGTTCTTTTTTAATCGGCAAACCAATGACCTTTTAAACAGAGAAAGAGAAAAGATTTTAGAGAGACAGTTGTATTAGAATAAAGTTTGTGGGTCTAGAGAAGGTGAGATAAGTTTCCCAGCGAACAGCATTCCTGTAGTGGCTTCTGGTGGTCGTTATCTTTCAACAGGTTTCCGTCTTATCTATGTCTTCAGGCGGTTTTTGCTGTTCTCCTCCTGCGCGCTGGTTGCCCAGCCGGACCTAGGGATTCCTAGAGGTCACTGCAGGAGGAGGTGCAGCAAGTATATCTTCAGGGGGTTTTGCTGTTCTCCGCCTGCACGCTGGTTGCCCAGCCGGACCTAGGGACCGTGGCGCAAGCCATTAGCCCTAAGGGTCACTGCAGGGGGAGGTGCAGCAGGTCCTCCTTTGTTTTTTTTTTAAAACGGAGTTGGTAGGCGTACATGTCACGTTGAAGGCGGTAGATCGACCTGTGAAGTGAGCGGACACAGAGGGGAGTTAAAAGACAAAGGAGAAGGACAAGTAGGGAAAGAGCAATGAAGGAAAGAACAAGATGATACCAGTGAGTAGGAGTCAAAGATTGGAGAGTAGAAGCTAGAGAATGGGCAAAGGAAGAGACTGAAGTATCCAGATGAGATTTACTGACAGAAGAAATTTCAGATTGGAGAGATGAGAGGTCATGAGAAAGGTCATTGTTACGCCAGATACCCAATAGGTGATGTTTGGTAAGATTCCAATGTAAGGAAGAGTTATAACGCAGAGGCGTAACGCAAATGAAACGAAACTGAGCATGGCATCGAGTAGACAGTTGTTGTTTGAGGAGTTGAACCTCATCGCCAATAGCAATAACAATTTCTTCCAGAGCATTTAACTTTCTTTCCAACTTGTAGTCAATGTCCCGCTGTGTAGAGAGCGCCATGGACACATTTTTGGTAAGGTCATTTACAAAAGAAGCTGTCTTAGCTTCCTGAATTAAAGCAACAGAGGAAGCAGCTAAAGAGGTAACTAAGGAAATTAATGCAGCAATACCAAGAATAAGAGCAACAATAAAACATTTAGGACGAAGAAGAGCATGCACCTCATCCAAGATTTGCATGGCAGTATTATCATACCAAGGCATATCATGTAAATCAACAGGTAACATAACATAGGGGGGTCTTTTGAGCAAGACCACCACAGGATATAGACGAACAAGAGGGGGGGTAATACAATTAGTAACCACACAACCGGAACATTGGACAGAATAAGAGTTCCCACGGGATTGGATACGTGTGGATGAAGCATTTCCCAGGAGCAGAGCAAAGGGGTATCCAACGCAGGCACGCACTGGGATCTTAGCGGTGTCCTGTCCAGGTTGTTTGAAGTGTACATCATCAAAGGCAGTGAAAAGACGAAAGAGTTCAGGCTTCATGACAGAGCTTTCTGTCCAGGGAACCGGGTTATTCAGTCCTGCCAATGGAGGCAAGCTTCCTCATCATTTTCAGAGGTCTCTGGAACCCTACGAACAAAGCAGTAGTTTCTCCACATTTTAGTTTAGCTCTATGTTACTCCCTGGAAGAATTGTACTCAAAGTCACACAAAAGGTTAGCTCTGCTAGAAAAAGAAAAAAAAATATATATATATATAACATTGCTGTAGAGTCTGGTCAGTCAAAACAAGAAAATTTTGTTGAATGAAGGCAAAACGTAAAAACATTTTCAACGTTATGTCAAACAAAACAGTAAAAATCAGGTGTATTTTCAACAGTCTATACAGTTCTTTGTAGAAAATTTTTACTCTCAAAAGTTTATCATTTTGAATCAATTGAGGCCTTTTTTTCTTATTTTGTGTAGAAACAAGTCCTGCAGACATTAAACCATTGAAGTATATAATATTACAAGGCAACAATAATTATTGACAATTTACATATATATTAGGTATTGAAAGATTTTGTTTTAGAAAACCAATGTTAACATTTTTGTACATGCCAAAGTTTTACAATTTTCCCAAGTGACAATGCTTCCCTTCCAGTTTTACTTTACTAGGTAAACCAAATCGAACAAATTTATCTAACGGCTTTTCCCAGAGGAAAGGGAGAAAACTTGTGGAGTGTCTCAGGAGCTCTACTGAGGTTCCACAAAATTTCCTTGCATCAGCCAAATGACAGGCTACCAAATTTGTACTTGAATTTAGATTTCCGGGAAGCTTTGCCATAAATATTAGAAAAACAACAGAAACAACAATATTAAATTTCTATGAAGATACTGGCTTAGTTTAGTATTACAGTGTTGACAATTTTACTGAAATGGCCTGTGTGGCCACATGAAAGCAAGCTTTAGTATTAATTAATCTTTTTTATTATGTGAATAAATTGATTAAATAATGCAATACAGTCAAATTTCTAACACATATCATTGTTTCTTTTCAAACCCATTATTTGCAGGTTTTATAAATCAAGGCAAATAAAATTCACTTCCCCTCAACCTTCTACAACTTACTACATACCCTCAATTTTAGCTTTTTCTCTATTCTTCCACATTCTGGCACAACCAGATATTTTAATTTTAAGACAAAACTACTTTCCCTTTTCTTTTTATTTTACTTACTATCAGTTATCAATTGCTCTCCCTCTTTTCTTCAGACACCACTAAAACTTTCAACAAATCATGATGTTGGTTTTCTTTCAGTATTCCAGAACACAAGGAGGTGCTTGGTGTGTTCACCACCCCAAAATGCTACTTAAAACATTGCAGATTTTTAAAATTGACTTAAAAACAGTATAGCTTGGTTTTAATATGACAAAAAATTTACATATATAAGTATATATATATATATATACATTTCTAGTTAAGGAAAGAATACTTTAAAGATACATTTACACAGAGTAGATTATTAATATTTAACACTATAACTTTAAGGATATATGCTTTGAATTATATCATAAAATTTGAACTAGCTCTTATATATTAAAAATTTGGATTATGATCTCAAAATTTGTTTTTATTAGAACTTATATAGGCGCCATTTATAACTAGTCCTCCGGAGGTAAAAAACAAAACAAACACAAAGAAAGACAAACAGATACAGAGATTTTTTTTTTTTTTTAATATACATTTAAATTTTGGCCATGTGCATATATTTTGAAACACAATTATTTTACCAATATGTATGAAGATACTGAGGTTTTTAATGAGTTAACAGTTAAAATCTGTACACAGAATAAGTGTTTAATTTTAATTATTACCAAAGACTTTGGGCTGGAGACCACAGCAGTCATGGCAGTTTTTACTAATTATTTTTGATAAGAAATATTTTTGGAGTTTACATTTTTAAGAAATGATTTTTTGGCTTTAGGTTGTTAACACATTATCTCACTGGGAACGGTCATATTTTAAAACATAAAAGAACACTGTTATCTTGAAAACAGGAGAAGAGATAAATTTTTACAGTATGCCTGTAAAATTTGAGGTTTAGAATTTAGCTCAAAAATGTCTGTATTATTACTTTATGTTTTACCAGGTTAGTTTGTTTTAACAAGAAACTTAATTTTTTACAGGTCCAATAAATAAAATTAAAAGCTTTTATTTAACCAATAAGCATTTTGTATAGCTTGTTAGCAGGTCAAAAGTAACTCAGCAGTTTTTGCCTAAGACAATTTAGACTTTAAAATCAGAGAAACACAGGGAAATGGAACTTTTTTTTTTTTTTTTTTTTTTAGAATGAACCAAAATAGTTATTTAAGGTGGATGGATAATAGAAAAGTTTAGTCCTTCACAGCAGGAAGGTAGTAGAGACCTGTCAGTGATCCCAACACTGGAGAAAAAGTCCAGGCAGCTGCTTGTTGAGGTCAAGGGCAGCCTCCACCAGCCCACTGCAGTGGGTTTATACTATTTTAATAAAAACCTTTTAGTCATATTATAGTCATATAGTCTCATACACTCATATTTAACCATTTTTTATCACTTTAACAATTGTGAATGAACTTTGAATACTATTATTTATAAATGCCTTATTTATTTATTTATTTATTTTTAAAGAAACAAATGGCAAAACTTCACCAGGGGGAACCTAGCCTCTTCCCCAAATAATTAACAGGAAAAGATTGGAGTTTTTGTTTTTTTTTTGTTTGTTTGTTTTTTTTTTTTTTTTTTCATTTAAGATCATGTCACATTATCTCTTATTTTTTTTGAGTTTTTATTTTTATCTCAACAATTTTAGTCAAGTCCGAGCTGGAAATTTGGGCTGGATTTTGGAATGGTTTTATAATTGGGAGTCAGATTGACTTTTGGCTTTTGAAAAACAATTTAACTATTTCAAGAATCCTGATCACTTTCTCTAATACTGCAGGCTATTTTCTCTTTTACCTTTTGTTTTGCATCTTTCATTTTGCCTCCAGCCAGGCAAAAAAACGACCTATCTGTTTAGGTAATTGTTCTGTTGATATGGGGCTGTCAGCTGAGTCCTCTTTGATGTTATTTAGGGATACAGACAGCCATAAGTTTTTGAATTTTTTTTTTTTTTTCAGGTGTAATTAGTTCTTTACAGAGGGAATTAGCATTTTTCCATGCAAGTTGTTTAAACAACAAATGTTGTACTCTGGAAGATGGAAGAACCTTATCCAGAGCATTTTTTAATCTGGCCACAAAATCCTGGTATCTTTCATCCTGGCATTGGTGTATATCAGTAAGGTTAGCAGGCTTATGTTCAGGTGAAGGAAGATTTTTCCAGTCAACTTATTAATTTTGACTAAGACATCTTTTGGTAGGGCAGTCTGTCTGCGTACCTCAGTATATTTGTCTGTTCCCATGAACATAGAAAGGGAAATTTTCTCAGCCTTGACCTCATCATCATATTTTTTAAAGAAGGCATGTACTTGGTCCTCATATTCCATGCGAAATAATACATACATTCCCGAGGGAAGTACAGCCTTGGCAAGATTATGCCAATCATAAGGGGTCATCCAAGTGGCCGATAGCATGTCAATAATTTGATAAATATAAGGGGAGTTATGACCTGTTGTCTGAACAGCTAACTGTAATTCTTTTAGGGTTTTTATAGGGATGGCCTCCCATGCAGGGCCATCGTCATCAGCACGAGTCAAAGTCGGAGGTCCGGCCACGGGAAAGGCAAATGAAAAATCTCCCGTCTTACTGGCCTCCCTTGCTGATCCTAGAATGCCACCCAGCGGCCCTCGATGGGCCTTGATATGATTAGGATTATTATCTAATGCAATTTTAGGTTTGGTAACAACTGGAAAAAGGTTAGCGGGTGGGCGGGAGGGTTTATCATTTTTGAAAGTCAATTTGTCTAGCATTTCAGTATATTCATGATCATTAAACTCATCCTCTGACTGGGAAAGAGATTCCTTCAATACGGGAGCAGAGGCTTGAGCGAATAATGACGTGTTTAGATCATTATTGTTTTTAGGATTATCCTGAACTTCATCCTGTTGGCTTTCCCACAATTCTGCCTCAGTGGCATCAACCAGCAGATCTTTAACTTGTACCCACAAAGACAAAGCCTGTTTCGGAACCTGAGACGGTCCATGAAGGCCATAAAACTCTCTTACTTCTTTTTCTACTTTCTTCCAAGTTTCCAGTGACAGACTGCCTTCTTCTGGAAACTACGGGCATACCCATAATATGAATTCATAAAGTTGCAGTAGAGCTTTTTTATTTACTTTAATACCTCGTGTTTCAATCATATTTTTTAATATAGATAGAAAAAGATCTCTATTTTTGGTCTGCTGTTGACCCATGGTCTCGTGGTGCTTTCGTTCACTCAAGCAGAGATTTCTTTCAACTGTGCTGTCCGGCCCGTGTCCCTCGCGGGAACTTGCGGAGGCGTCTTAGCTAAGGTCTGTCCGTATAAGTCCCGGACCAGGCTACTCCGAAGAGCAGATGACCGTTATGCCATATGACGTTCCTCCACGGGAATCGCGGGTGCAGCCCACTCAGACTCCGTAGCTACGAGGCCGTGGAGCCGTATTCATACACTCTCACACACACACAGCACCACGAGCATTCACTCTTAGAAAAACTTCTCACTATTTCAAACTGATCACCCTTTATCAGCAAGCTCCGGACGCTTCAGTGAGGATCCTATCCCTGACTTTTAAAAGAGGGTATTTTTAAGGGAATCACATTCACACTCACACACAAGAAGGGAGATAGCTTACCCAAACGCAATCTCTTCGTTACTCACCTCTCCTTTGGGTGGAAAAACTCAGCAATATTTGAATTTGGGCCCCACGTTCAGGCGCCACCTGCCGCGGACCAGCACAGCAGTAGACGATGAGGCCGTCTCAGGGTTGAGAGACTGCGCAGGGTGGTCACGGATTCGGTTAAAGAAATGACAAACAGACACACTTCAAGAGTGAAAATCTGAGTGTAATTTTATTTGAGTTGGTGACCAGTATATATATGTTTTCTAAAGGCATAGGAATGGCGAACATCAGTGAAGAAATTAGCTTGCTTATAGGTTTAGCTTATCATTGACAGGGCAGTGATTTACATCTGGACCCAGGCACATTCCTAAGTAGTTAGGCTATTAATTTTTCTTTTTGTTTTATATGATTACTTTTTGTTTTAACTACTCACTATTACTATTAATTAACACAGGTGAATTTTACTTTTCACAATGTAATATTTTTATCATTTAGATTAATACAAACTAGGCTAAGTATACAACAGAGAAATTATTAAGCTAGCAGTTCAATTAATACACAGAGTTTAGTAACGTTTCATTTGAATCAGCCTAGTTATTAGATTTCGTATGTTCTTTTTTAATCGGCAAACCAATGACCTTTTAAACAGAGAAAGAGAAAAGATTTTAGAGAGACAGTTGTATTAGAATAAAGTTTGTGGGTCTAGAGAAGGTGAGATAAGTTTCCGAGCGAACAGCATTCCTGTAGTGGCTTCTGGTGGTCGTTATCTTTCAACAGGTTTCCGTCTTATCTATGTCTTCAGGCGGTTTTTTGCTGTTCTCCTCCTGCGCGCTGGTTGCCCAGCCGGACCTAGGGATTCCTAGAGGTCACTGCAGGAGGAGGTGCAGCAAGTATATCTTCAGGGGGTTTTGCTGTTCTCCGCCTGCGCGCTGGTTGCCCAGCCGGACCTAGGGACCGTGGCGCAAGCCATTAGCCCTAAGGGTCACTGCAGGGGGAGGTGCAGCACTGAGTAATATTCCATGGTGTATATGTACCACATCTTCTTGATCCAGTCATCTATTTTTGGGCATTTGGATTGTTTCCAAAGCTTAGCTATTGTAAACAGTGCTGCTATAAACATAGGGGTGCAGGTGCTCTTTGGAATTGATGTTTCTGTGTCCTTTGGGTAAATACCTAGGAGTGGAATTGCTGGATCATATGGAAGCTCTATGTTTAGTAGGTCCAGAAATCTCCACACAGCTCTCCATAGTGGTTGGACCAGTTTGCACTCCCACCAACAGTGCAGAAGAGTTCCTTTTTCTCCACATCCTCGCCAACATTTGTTGTTGCGAGTTTTTTTAATATGTGCCATTCTCACTGGTGTGAGATGGTATCTCATGGTAGTTTTGATTTGCATTTCCCTGATTACAAGTGATGTTGAACATTTTTTCATATGTCTGTTGGCCATTTGCATTTCCTCTTCAGAGAAGTTTCTTTTTAGCTCTTCTGCCCATTTTTTGACTGGATTATTTTCTTTGTTGTTGCTGAGTCTCATCAGCTCTTTGCAGATTTTTGTGATCAGTCCTTTATCATTAGTGTTGGGTGCAAAAATGTTCTCCAGTTGGTGGGGTTTCTCTTTGTTTTTGTTATTGTCTCTTTTGCTGTGCAGAAGCTCTTTAATTTGATGTAGTCCCAGCTGTTCGATGTGAAGGGTTTTTAAAGGTAGCATTCAGGTCACTAATGAGCTGCTCAATCTGTGGTTACTTGTAGCAATAGAAAGTTAATACAAATGTTGTAAGGGGGATTGAAGAATCTCCCTTCACATTTTCAACTTCTTCAGGTTTTAGACTAAGGTACTCTTTTTGTACAGCAGGTCACTCTGCAGAGATTCCAATTAATAGCTTCATTTGTGTGTGTATGTGTGTGTGTACGTGTCTGTTCAAGGGGGGAGTAATAAAATGAACATTGAGTCAAAATTTCATTGGGATGGACCTCTTTAATAAGGATTCTCTTCTATACTTTCTATTCGGTCAACTTTGAAGAGTTAGTTCTCAATGTTAGGATAGTTGAGACTTCAGGAAGTCTCTGGAAGTTTGCTATTCAGTTTACCTAAGCCACAAAACCTCCTGGCCAAACTGCTACAAATTGGGTGTCTTAAAACAACAGAAATTTATTGTTTCATAGTTTTGGAGGTTAGAAGTCCAAAATGAAGATGCTGACAGGGAGACTGCTCTCTCTGAGGGTTTTGGGGAGCTCTTTCTTGCCACTTCTTTGTTCCTGGTAGTTGGTAGCCACCTTCATATTTCTTGGCATGGAGATATGTCATTCCTATCTCTGCTCCCATCATTACCTGGCGTTGTCTTTGCAGGGTCTCACGTGGCATTTCCCCCTCAACATGTTCTGTGTCAAAATTTCCTTCTTATAAAGACCAGTAATTAGATTAGGGGCCACCATAGTCCAGTATTACCTCACCTTAACTTGACAACCTCTGCACAGATCCTATGTCCAAATAAGGTCACATTCTGAGGTTCCAGGTGAACAAGAAATTTTGGTGGACTCTAATCCAGCACAGATGTGCTATTTGCTGCTTTAATTTTGGGGAAAAAATAAAGCACTGAAGGAACTACTTAAAATATCCAAAATCATTGTTTCTTCATTTAAACACTTCAAAAGCTTTATTCTGTTGTTTTTGTATGGCACTAAATCAAAATAGGTGAGATTTAACTTAAACCCTAATGAAATATTTCACAAGACTTTAAGGCAATAGAATAAAAATCATGCTTTCATAATGTCCCTAAAAGAGACAGTGAGTAGTTTAGAATTATAGATTGTTGAGTTTGGTTATTTACCTCCGAGCAATCACAAGAACACTTTCAGGCTAGTTAATCTGTTTTAAGAAAACAACAACAACACACACACACACACACACACACACACACACTCTCTCCCCCTCACCCGCCACCACATACAAATACCATGTGTTGGTCTGATTGGTCTGCATGGGAGGGGGTGAATGGAAGAAATGCATAACACCAAAGGATCAATTAATGACAATTCTTTTATGCCAATAAGCAGTACTTAACATTTGGTTCATAGACCAAAATTCAATTCACAGACAATTTTTTTTTATTGTGGAAAATCAAGCACACCTCCATAAATTGTGTATGTCCATTTGCTTAATTTGCATGGACTGTTCTTTTTCACTCTCACATTAAGATGCAACATTCAAATATTTGTGTAACCAAAACTTTCCTCAGCCCTGGATATTCAAAATTTTGCATTTATCTGGATGTTCTACTATAGGCTAATCCTTATTAGTGTAACATATTTTCATCCACTTTGGTTCTATACCCAAATGCAGTGTATTTGAATGTGCATACATGTTACTCAATGCTTTAGCTCATACTTGGGTATCAACTTGGGTAACAATGACAGGTGGCAGTTAAAAAATTAAATAGGCACCTTCTTTGTGTCTTCATGTGTCCTCTTTGAAGGTCTGCTGTGCCTGGAGAAGTACAGGTAGTGCCTGTTTAGTGTTAATGAGCTTGGAGCCTGAATTGCCTTGTTTCACCAACTGCTCCCTTTTCTTCACCATCCTCATAGACATTCTTGAAAGGTCCATGCAGGAGGCCTGAATGCAGGAGCCAACCAGGAAGCCCACCTGGGGGGCAGGAATGCAAGATACCTGCCTGGAGGACTCAGACAATGAGCTTCCCCCCTCCCCCCACGAGTCTCTTCTCAGACAAAGAACTCCTACCTGCCCCACGAACCTTTTCGCTCCCTACAAACTTTTCCCGCTGAACGAGCCCACCTGACCTCTCCTCACCCTATAAAACCCTGCTTCCCCCTGACAACGTGCGTGGCTTCACTGACCCCCACCTTGGGTCTGTGAGGTCCGCCTGGGGCGCAATAAACTTTCCCTCCCTTTGAGAAATGTAGCCTGGCTCTCCTTTTCTTTACCGCCCCGAACCTTTCAATTCTGTCTTTGTTTAACCCCTTCAGAGGATCAGATCCCTATGGGTTTCAGAATCTTTTTCATTTCCTTATCACCCATCTTGACTCTTGAACCTAATGTAGCGTTTCTGCAGGCAGATGTCAGGAGATTCTCCCTCCCTTTTGAATCTCACCATCTCTTATCTGTTCTCCCTAACTCTAATCTTGCCCTACTCCATTCTGTCCCCCATAGCCAAAGAAATTGAAGAAGTTAGACTGATTTCCCAACTCCTGTTGCATTCAGTGTCCAAACTGACACAGTTTGTGCTATTCTTTGTCACATTTCCCGTTACTCTCTCTGGTTTCATCCTTTGTTCCCCTTCTTTGTGAACCATCTTTTACTGCAGACATAAGGGATTACTTGCAGCTTCCCAGTTATTTTATGTTCCTTCCTATCTCCAGGTCTTTATATAATCTGTTCCCCCCCCCCCTTACATTCTTTCCTTTCCTCTGTTCATTAGATAATTGGTATTTGTCCACATTTACCTAAATGTTATTCTCTAATCTCTGAGGATTTTATTAGGGAATCTTTTCTTTACTCAAATCATTCTAAACTTTTCCCAGTTAGTGCATATAATGAGCATCACAATGATCTGTTAATTCATCCTATCTCCCCAAGGTTAATTGTATGCCTGGATGTGTCTTGTTTCAGCTTGGCACATAGAAACCTTTCAAGAAACAAATTTGGAACTTATAAGTAATGACTATTGATAAGCCTTGGAATCCTATCCAGAATTCCAGGAGTGTCTTTCTGTCATAGACACCTACAGTATATGCCTGGTTGTAACTCATAGGCAAATTCTAGACCTGTCCTATATAACATAAAGCTTTGAGAAGTGAAATGCTAGCATTAGTAAGAATGAAGTTTGCTGGCACAAGCTTGATTACAGGAAAAAAGGCCCTGTTATTATTATTTAGAATTCAGAAGATGGGTATTAGCAGACATCAAACCATGATCACCATGAATGTGTAGCCTCTGACATGCAGGTCTCTCCACTTAGGAGAGACCAGTGAATGATTAATAGTTACGGTTTCCACGAACCAGGTATAAATTCACAAATTGTGCTGTTACTGATGAGCAGAGTCATTTTGGATACATTTGAATCAGAATGCTTGCTGGGTTTGTCTAATGCCTGCACAATTAACAAACAATCATTTTGCAATTTGGGCTGCAAGTGCTGTGTTTGGATATAACACAGGAACAA